CAGTGGTGTAGGACAATCAATTTGTGTTTGGATAGTAAGGATTTTCAGCTTATAAATTAAAGGGAGCAATGTCATTTTCATCTGAGACCAGGTTTAATATTATACTTAAAGTGTCAGAATGTAGGGCTTGTGTTCCCTTTCTAGATAAAAGTGATATCTAGCTTTCCTGATTTTCTATGTACTTGTCTAAATTTTTCATATGCTTTTGTGGATCAAAATATATTCTGAGGCTAAGAAGAAGGGAGGATAGACTTTGATAAGGTTTTTGTTTTAGTTTATCTTGGCTATGAAATTACCTACATTAGTAGAGAGCATCCACAGTTAACAGAAGCCTCCACATGAAGTACACCGTGCCTGCTGTGGGCATTTAGGGCATTCCTCCAGCCTGCTTGGGAAGACTGAGGAGAAGAGCTGACACAGTCTTGAGGCCAGTTTGGGAGATCTCTGAAATCATTTAGGACCTTAGACAGTTGTACAGTGGAGCAGCCCAGCCTATTTCAGTAGCTCACGTTTAACCACTCATTAATAACATTTTTGGTGTTCTCTGTCTTTGAATGTATTACATTTCAAATTACTAAAGCTTTCTTCTAGAACTTTCTACAAGGTAGTCTGGACCTGCTACCTGTCTGTTTTAACTCAGCATGATAAACTACATTTCAAGTGCTTTGCAATGGGTAACTTTAATCACATAAATGGAGTTTTTTTAGTTGTTTATTTATTCCCGAAGGAAGTTTTATTGGGGTTAAGGCTTTTTATGTATAAATACAACCCTTTGTAATGTTTGTACCCTGTGTGATCTCTGTATTTATAAACTTAAATCAGACCATTTCACTTGCCTATTCAAATTCCCCAGATGGTTTCCCATCTTATTTGGAATGAAATTTAAACTATTTACCTTAACTTACATAATCTACTCTCTTACCTCAGCTCCTGGCCTTGCTTGAGCGCACCATTCCAGTAATGTTGGCCTCTTTTCTTTTCCTCTGACAAGCCAAGCCTTTTTGGTTTGCTTTAGGGATTTCAACTTGCTTTTTCCTCCACTTGCAAGGCATTTTCCACTGATGTACCCCAGGCTTACTTCTTCCCTTTATTCAAATTTCTCCCACATGAACATCTTTGGAAAGACATTCTTTTTTTTTTTTTTTGCAGTTTTCGGCCGGGGCTGGGTTTGAACCTGCCACCTCCAGCATATGGGGCTGGCACCCTACTCCTTTGAGCCACAGGCGCTGCCCTGGAAAGACATTCTTGACCACCTAAAAAGTACTCTCTGCCTCCTGCTCATTTCTTTTTCTTTGTGACACTATATCACTAGCAAAGTTTACATGATATATATTTTTTTTCATTTGTAAAATTGTTCTTCATTTTCTATTCTCTATATATTCTTTTTGGGTATTCATAATTGATTTTTTAAAATACCAGACTAACATGAGGATACAGAAGATTGTGATTCATTTATTTACCTGTTCCTCGGCTCTCTTCACTGGAGTATACTCTCCGTGAGGACTCTGTCCATCGTTACCGCTGATGTTAGTCTGCTCTTGCTGCCACAACAGAACACTATACCGTGGGTGGCTTAGACAACAGAAATTTATTTTCTCACGGTTAAGAGCCCAGATGCCCTTGGCTAGGTTCTCGCCTATTCAGTTATTGGCGAGGGATCTTCTCCTGACCTTTACACAGCCATGTCTTCACATAGTCCTTCCTTCTCTGCACAGAGGTGGGAGAGCAAGCTCTCTTGTGTCTCTTTATAGAAGGATGCTAATCCTCTTGAATCAGGGGCCCAGCCACATGAACTCACTTAACCTTAATTAGGTCCTTTGAGGTCTCATCTCCAAATACAGCTACTTTGGGGATTAAGAGTTTGGGGGAGAACCATAAACATTCAGTCCTTAAAACCCTTGTATTCTTAGTTCCTACAGTTGCCTGCCACATAGTAGTGCCTGATAAATAACTGAATTACTAAATGGTTTGACTAGTGTTTCATTTTAATGGTCATATGGTTTAGTATTTTCACTATATGTATGATTTTATTTTTATTTAGCCATTTCTCTGTTGTGCTGCAATGAGTATCTCAGTAAATTAATCTTTAAATACTTTTATCAGTAATGTGTGTGACTAACATATAAGATTTTAAAATAAGGGATGGCACCTGTGGCTCAGTGAGTAAGGCGCCGGCCCCATATACTGAGGGTGGTGGGTTCAGACCCTGCCCCAGCAACAAAAAAGTAGCCGGGTGTTGTGGTGGGCGCCTATAGTCCCAGCTACTCAGGAGGCAAGAGAATCACCTAAGCCCAAGAGCTGGAGGTTGCTGTCACCTGTGATGCCACGGCACTCTACCAAGGGTGATAAAGTGAGACTGTCTCTAAAGAAAAAAAAAGATTTTAAAATAATAATGAGGGTCAGCATTGCATAATTTTAAAGACCATGAACTCTGGAGCCAGACTGAGTTTGACTCTCAGCCTCACCACCTGAGCAAGTTTGTTTATTCTCTGTATGATTTGGTTTATATTCCATATAAAAAAGAAATAATAATAGTACCTGTTTCTTACTGAATTATGAGACTAAATGAATTGTCTCAATATGTGATGCTCTTAGTACTAGGCATCAGCCCTAAATAAGCATCTATTAAATTTAAAAACTTTAGGAGGACATACATTTTAAGGTGACTATCACAGGTTGGTAAAAACGAGAGAATTTCCATCTAGTCCTGATGGAAATATAAATTGCTGTAGCCACTTCGGAGGACTGTTATTCACTGGCAGATTAATAAAATACTGCATTCAGCTTCTTTGAGGGAGACAGTGCCATCTGAGACCCCAAAGTGATAGAGGAGAAAGCTGATTTTTTTTGTTTTTGAGACAGAGTCTTTCTATGTCACCCTCTGTAGAGTGTGGTGGCATCAGAGCTCACAGCAACCTCAAACTCCTGGGCTCAAGCAATTCTCTTGCCTCAGCCTCCCAAGTAGCTGAGACTGTAGGCACCCACCACAGTGCCCGGCTATTTCTTTGTTGTAGTTGTTGTTTAGCAGGCCCGGGCTGGACTCCAACCTGACTGCCCTGGTGTATGTGGCTGGTGCCCTAACCACTGAACTATGGTTGCCCAGCCAGGAAAGCTGATTTTGATACCTTGTTTGTTTTCGGCTGAGTAAGATTAGCTTCTTAGTGGTAGCATGCTCCTTCCAGTTTTGATTCTTTCATTTTATTTCCCACTTCGAAAAGCTTCTTTCCTGCCTAAATCATTAGTGTATTGGTTCCCAAAGTTTGCTGCACGTTAGAATCATCTGCGAATATTTAACAGTTCTGATCTCTCGCTCCCACACCCAGACATTCTTTTGTATTTCTCTTGTTGTATAGGGTGTCACCTGGGTGTTGAGATAGTTGTGAACCCACAGGTAATTATAATGTGCAGCAAAGTTTGGGCACCACTTGGTGAGATTTTCAGGTGGACTCGGAAGACCTCCTTTTGTCATTGGTGGAAACAGCTGATGTTTCACTCTTGGGGAGCTTAGGGAGAGTGGGGGAAAGGGCAGAGTGAAGATAACCTGGGCGGCCCCCACACTGGAGACTTCATCAAGGTCAGATGATACGACCACATACCACAACTCACAAGTATTGTTACGACGCCTGATAAAGTGTCCTGGGCAGCTAGATGACTGTGATCCACCCCAGGTTTACTTTTTCATCATTGTTTACAAAGATCACTGAAATTAAGAGAAAAGCTATGCTGGACATGCTTTGGTTATGAGGTATATAGTTGGTACAAACTTGGTAAACAGTGATCCATTTTCACCAAACAGGTTAAATCATACAATTGAACAATATTTCAGTATAATGAAAAATCAGGTACTTTTAAAGGCAATTCTTATAGACAAAGATAGAGATTATCAGCATTTTCAAAGTAGACACAGATCAGTTTGATTTACTTACAGTATTATGCACAAAATAGATGCAAATAAATACTGTTGCTTAGTTAATTCAAATTTGAGATTTTAATTTTGTCAGTTATTTATTGAGTATCCTGAGTCTAGACCAGTGCTGTCCAATAGAAATATGAGAGCCACAAATGTAATATAACAACTGAGATTAATTTCGAGAATATATTTTATTTAATCCAGTATATCTAAAATATTATCATTTCAACACAGTCAATATAAAAACTCACTAAGGAGATATTCTTCCCCTCTCCCTCTCTTCTTTCCATCTTCCTCTTTTTTGCACCAAGTCTTCAAAGTTCAGGGAGTATTTTATCCATTGAGCTGGCTACATTTCTTTTTCTTTTCCTTTTTTTTTTTTTTTTTT